ATTCACCAGAGACAGAGCAGGGAACAGAACAGGCAGACTGACGAAATACACTGCTGAGGGGAGAAGCGGGCATGGCAGGAGAGATCTGCCGCACCATGTGGGACCCTTGCCGGTGGCCAGGGATCGAACTGGTGCTGCAGAGGCTGCGGGGCAGCTTTGCAGGCCAGCGCTCAACTGCTGTGCCACCAGGGGAGGCCCTTCGTAATATTTGAATTGTTCTCCAGGGAGACCTCTATGAAGCAGGGCTATTTAGAAAATAAATGATGTAGCTGGAAATTATCCTCATGGGTTTATCTTTAAAAAAAATTATGTCCTTCATTTGTGATTTTAATAGACCCACAGAGGCATTAATGTATTTACCAAGTTACTGACTTTGTGGCTACTATAGTAGTGCTAATAAAAAATTAAATTATTTTCACGCCCTAGAGATCAGTGCAATTTGTTATATACTCTTAATTTTCATATAAGGTCTAATAGAATATACCATGAAAACAAACTGGAAAATGAGGGGTTTTTAAAGTTGAAAGCCATAACTATTTTGTGTAGAATACTTTCTGATTTTGTATATTCTACAAATAATCTACATTATTTCTACATTATAATCTAAAATATGGATAAGCAATTAACTTTCATACAGCAGGTTTTATAGACTCTGTGGAAAATTTAAGGCTAAATTTATTTCATATGGAACCACAAAAGATTCCTAATAGTCAAAGTAATTCTTAGAAAAAAGAATGGAGATATTAGGCTCCTGTAATCAAAATGGTGTGGTATTGGGATAAAAATACATACCTATGTGAACACTTTATTTTGAAGGAACCAAGAGTCTACAATGAAGAAACGAAAGTTTCTTCAACAAATTCTGTTGAAAAACTGGACAGCTACATAAAAAGAATAAAACTAGCCCACATAGCACACCATATGCAAAAATTAATTCAAAATGGATTAAAGACTTGGAGGATATAAGACCTGAAACCATACAATACAAAAAAAAAACAAAAACAGGTTATACGGTCCACCATCTTCACCTCTGTGATATCTCTGGGGACTTGACTACAACAGCAAGGAAAACAAAAGCAAAAATAAACCATTGGGATTATGTCAAACTAAAATGCTTCTGTACAGCAAAAGAAACTCTCATCAAAATTAAAATACATTCTATTGAATGGGAGGAAATATTTATACATCATATATCCAATAAGGGGATAATATACAAGATTTACAAAGAACTCAAACAATTCGACAACAATAAAACACCAAACAACCCAGCCAAAAAATGGGCTGAAGATCTGAATAGATACTTCTCCAGCAAAGACATACAGATGGCCAATAAGCACATGAAAAAATGTACATTATTATTTTATCAGGAAAATACAAATCAAAATCACAAAGAGTTGTCACCATACACCTGTGAGAAAGATCTATATCAAAGACCAGAAATAACAAGTATTGGCTAGAGTGTAGGAAAAAGGGGTCACTAATACATTGGTGGTGGATACATAAATTGGTTCAGTTTCTATGGAAAATAGTATGGAGGTTTCTCAAACTATTAAAGATTAATCAATCTACATATGATCCAGCAATTCCACTCCTAGGTATTTATTGTAAGAATACAAACACACTAATTTGAAGGGGCATATACACACCTATGTTTTCGTGGTAGCCAGTATGGATGTAACCTAAGTGCCCAACAACAGATTGGATAAAGAAAATGTGGCGTATATGCACAATAGAATACTACTCAGCTATTAAAAAGAAAGATGAAACCTTGCTATGTGAGGCAACATAAATGGGAGTAGAGGAGATTAAGCTAAGCTAAAATACTGAAAGATTTCATTCATAGGTAGAATATAAAGAAAGAAAGCAAAGGAACATACAAAACCAACCAAAACAAACTCCTGGATTCTGGATGAAGAACTGAGGTTATCAGAAATGAGGGGTAGATGGTTGCAGAGGATAAAAGAGCCCAGTGGTTTTGGTGGAGGGTATTGATACCTTGGTGGTGGGGATGGTATAGCAACATACAGTTGAAGAGATGTAAAGCTGTATTCTTAAAATACAGTGTTGTCAACTGAAGTTACTGCAATTAAAAAAATTCAGTTGAACTTATTTGCTTTGTCAGTAGTGAGCATTGTAATTGATCACTGGTTCTTCTTATAGCTATTATCTGTCCATGAATAATTATTTGAAATGGTTAAAAATTGATCAGTGGAATCACTGAACTAACCTAACTTTTGGCAGCCTGACATACTTAGCAGTTGAAAGTTAAAATGAAGTATAGTTTTGTTATCTTTGAAAAACTGAAGTTGTCACTAAGGCTGGTTCCTAACATCAGCTAATCCAGAAGATACACTTCTACATCTTTTCACTTGAAACCAAGTTTGCATTGGCACTTTGGCATAGATTTAGTTTACTGTCCCAATACAACATGTTAAGTAAAACACACTCTTAAAGATTTGTGATGTCAGGAAATTTTTGCAATAGCTCTACAAAATAGGAAGTAGGCAAAATATTTCTGTTTTTAGACATAAAAATTAAGGAAATGAAATATAACTAGTTCTTTTATATTAGCTCCTTTTCCTATTCTCAAACTGTTAATTAAACTGTCTGACCAAAATTACAATAGATATTTTACTATTATCAGATCTCTTTAATAGTTTTTTCATAACTTCCTTCTGCCATTTGAGTTAATCTCAAAAATCACAACAGGAGATTTAATAATCAAATATTCTCCTCCTGTCTCCACTCTCAAAATAATAAATAAGGAGTTGGGCTTTAAAGAAACAGACTATTTGTGTGTATGGAATGAAATCATTAAAAGTAAATATTTAGCAATATTTCTCCTTTGAGTGTAATTTGAATTTTTTTTTTTTTTGGAGGATTTCAACAAAGGAGTATTAGAAATAGTGGGCATTTGCAGGAGTAAGTACAGTATCACAAATTTGGAGCAAAGATGAAAAGTTATATTAATTAGAAGGAAGAAGTTTCTTCTTGAGAAACTAACTCATTATATGCTATTTCAATAATCTATTCTAAAATAAATTATAAGCCTTGAAAGTGGGAAAGATAGGAGATTATGGTTTAGAATCTCTTACCCCTTCAGTTTCAAATATATAGGCTTTACATGAAACTTTACCCAAATAATTATCATCTCTAATAAAGTTTTTTGTCATTGACTTCAGCCATTTGCAGCATTTGTGGGAGAGGGAGAAACAAGAAAAAATTCCTAACATGTTTCCCTCCCACTGTCTTTTCTTCGTGATAAAGGTCACAGAATTGTTTTAATTTTGCTTTATGATAGATTGAACTATAGACTGTTGGAGCTAAAAAAGACTCAGTCATTTAGATGTTTTATACAGAAGGAGAAATTGAGGTCCAGAAAATTTAAATGACTTGGTCAAATTCACAAAGCTAAAAATAAGGGACAGGTACTAGAAAATACAGAGCCATGAAATGATTTTCTCTGTTAATTATTTTTTGCAGTTGTTAGTTCAAGTATGTTAGCCCTATAAGAAAGTAATTCAGTTGAGACAACTAAAAATACTTGTGCTTGTTGCTTCTCAATGTAATATGGATTTCAAAAAAATGTCTAGAGAATAGAAATGAAAAGAGAAAAGGCCCACACAACAAGGGAGACACAGCACATGTGCTTTGGTTTTTAAGCCTTAGGGCCAAAATCACACTTTTGATCTTGGTAACCAAAAAGAATCTTGTTCCTGGAATGCTTGTAGAGACCTGAATTAGTCATAAGCTTCTTAGGAAAGAATTCATCCTTTGTTTGATATTTCAGAGATGCTTGATCAGAAATCAAGCAAACCTCTTTTATTGTGTGGATCTCATCATACTGCAGTTGCAAATGTAACAAATCCCTCGGAAATATTTGCCTAAAGAATCTTCTATTTTGAATGATTTTAGTATGGATTGGATGATCTCATGAGGCTTCTCCCTGAACTATGATTCTTTCCTTGTTAATGCTAGCACATCATCTCTCACATGCTTGTTTACAGGAATCACAGTAGGCAGCTATGGTAGAATTTCTAATTGTTGACTTGTTCAACTGGGGAAATAATCATGGAAAGTTTATTGTAGACTATTACTACTCATTAATTATTACCAGACATTATTACTGAAGTCATTATTCCAGAAGGTTTAGATGAGGAAGACTCAATTGCCTATAATATTCAAGATAAAACAACTCCACTGGAATCATTGGCTTGTAACCAAATATTTGGACCATTTAATAACCTAAATGATAAGTTTAACTTCTGGTTTTCCTTCTACTCAATCCCTTCTCCACATCCCTCTCCCACTCCCATAAATCTATTACTGCCTTAAAAAAATTCCTTTCAAATCTTCTTTCATAATAGGAGACTGACCAACATTAAAATTCATCCTTATTAAAGCTTTTCATTTTCTAAAAGATAAGAGAGCAACACTTTGCCTTTATTTCTGGTCTCTAAGGTACTATTTTAGCTTGATATTGCATTAAAATGAAACATTCAAAATAATATCTGGCATCTTCTCAACATTCCAGAGAAATACTTGAAATAAGATATGCCAAAAAGAGCTAAAAATGGTGAAGGAAATTACAGAAGTGTTTGACTATCATCCAATAGATTCTAACAGTTCACACAGAGAAAATTTCTGAAGGAAGGCTCTCTTAAAACTGTACCAAAGAATGCTACAGATTTTAACTATCTGGCAGAGTACAGAGCAGGTGGCAAAATCTTTTTGTCTGGCTAGCTAAACTTTTCTTTTTGTTTATATAAAAATGGCTGGTTTATTAAAATGGGAATTAAAAATATAAACAGGAATAATCTATATATGCTAGCATCCATTCTATTTGAAAATAAGTTTCTTCAATCTTTAATAGCACATAGACTCTTCAATACTCAAAATATTTGATTCTCTCTCCCCATTGAAATACTGTGAACAACCCGTCATTCTTCTTATTATGAATCAACATGAAATTTGATAGCACTTTCCCTTCCTCATTTCAGATATGACTCACTGCTCTTGGTGTAATCCCCAGGGATCAGAAGCTCTGCTTTAAAGTAAGGAAACAAAAGAAACATCTTTAATTCAAGCTGGTTAACCAGAGAACTCTAATAGTTATTATTCACTGCCCTCTTTAGTACACATTATAAATCTGAATGCTTGAAGTGTCCTCTCTCCAGCTTTCCCTGGGGAAACCAATCTAGAGAAGCTGGAGAGGTAACCTGAATGATAAGTCTTAGACTTGAAGGTTATCAGTAGTTCTACTTAACTATTCATTATCTCTAGGATTTTAGCTTTGGGAGTACTTTATTTTCAAGATTTTGGGTGTCTTCCCTCCAAAGCCTTCTGACTTTGCATATAAAAAGTAATAGATCTGAGCTGTTTCTCAAAAGTCTTTCTAATTTAAGACTTGATCCTTTTTCTGCTGTGTGGTAACCACTACCCCACTTTCCATCTCTCTCAGACATAGAAAGTGTTGTAAAGCGTAATTCAATATAAAAATCCTAAATCATCTAGAAGTCTGTGGTCTTTCAAACAATATTCAAATAAGAAGGGAAAAAGTATAGCACTCTAAGTAAAATTGCTTGAATATAGGCAAAAAGTAAAAGTAAAAAGCTGAGAGTCCCCACTTTATATTTCCAAATCCTAGAAACAGCTAGTCTCCAGAGAAGCAGTTTGTTTCTATGTTTAGAAGATGAGAAGAGTTCAATTTAAAGGATTCTTTTTCCATTCCTTAAAAAAAAAGAGAGCGACAGAGAAAAGAAAGTCCAGCAAAGGCAAATGCTCCCTTGGACAGAGAATTTCAGCAGATGTTCATTGTCCCAAGGATAAAACAGCTCCTACTTTGTAACTTAGCATTTGCAAATTTAGAGACTTATATATTTCTAACTTGAAATGATTCATGTGGTATGAATGAGATGTAAATATTAAAATTATTTCTATGAGAAAGTGGTGACATTTTACTATTGTCCACAGAATGCTGAACACTGTTGCTATATTATGATATGGTGATGCGATAATTGTAGCCCATCTGAGCGTTTCAAACTTCTCTATTTTTTCCTTTTAACTATTTACAACGGCACTCTGGAAAATCATTAATAATTATAGTAACATTTGTGGAGTACTTAAGATGTATGAGGCACTCACAATTATCATTTGAGGCAAGTACTATTAGTATGTCCATTTTAAATGTGGAAACTAGGGTTCACAAAGGTTAAGTAACATACTTAAATTACAATCCAAGAAGTGGTGGTATTGGCATTCAAATGTAGTCAATTTGACTGTAGGACAGGGGTCATCCAGCCTTTTCTGTAAAAGCCATGGAATAAATATTTTAGGATTTACAAGCCTTATAGTCTGTATTGCAATTACCCAACTTTGTTTTTGCAAGACAAAAGGAACCTAAAATAATACGTAGATGAATTGCAAGGTTTGTTAGAAAACAACTTTATTTATGGACACTGAAATTTTGAATTTCTTATAATTTTCACATGTCACAGGATATTATCCTTCTTTGATTTTTTCCCCAACTATAACAAATTCTTACCCCATAGACTGAACCAAAACATCTGAAAGGCTGGATTGGGCCGACAGACTGGTTTGTTGACCACTGTTCAAGGCCCTTAATGCTTTTACAGTTTTTCCAGTAGTGTGTTTATGGTGAATTTTTAAACAGCTATTAAAACCACATTTACATTCTAGCATTATTGAGTATTTCAGACTTTTATTGTATAAACATATGCTTTGGGGAATAAGATTAATTTATATTGTATATATTAAGGTGAATCATATGAAATTTGCCAATATTGAGCTTTAGACCTTTAAAAGAGGAAGTTTTATGTTTCAACATAGTATCTATAAATGTATGTTGCCTTAGGAGGTAATGTTTTATTAGAGTTAAGCATAGACTAGTATCCAGGGGAACTTTATATAAACAATTCAAGCATGAGATGTGTGACATAATAGATGATCTTCATGTTCCTTCAGAATCTTTGCTATGAAATGTATTTCAGTCAGTCTGCCTGTTCTATTCCCCACTCTGTCTCTGGTGAATCCTCTCTCATCCCCTTCATCTCTGGCATGTACCCCAGTTCTTGTATGCATAAATAAATAAATATTTAAAAAAAAAGAATCTTTGCCATGAAATGAGGTATGATAAGCTAGGGATAAAGTTATGAAGAAAGTGAAACATCATATTCTTAATGACACTTAGGGGTAAGTATTTTCACTCAGTGCACAATCAAGGCAGTCTGGTTCTGGGAGATTAAGTAACTTGCCTGAATTCAGAACACTACAGGATGGCAAAGCCCAGACTTGAGCAAAGAAGGAAAGACCCTTCTTGTTTTTACTCATACGAAAGAGGAAATTTTACTGCGATCTGTCAGTACCACTAAGACCTTATAGATAGTTTTTTTTCAAGTTCATTACTAGAAAAACAGTTGTAAACCATAGTATTAGAATTTCTCACATTTTCAGTAAACTCCAGAAAATATGTTCATGCAATTTTCACACATTTTTGCTGTTACATGTATATTGTTCCTTTGGAATATTTTTATACTGATAAACCCTTAATTTGGTTTATTTCTAAATGGAAGATTTATTTCAATTTATTTCTAAATGGAAGATGAAAGTAGAAATCATAGCTTTTGGTAAATGCAATTTTAATAAGCTAAGTAATTAAACCGATAGCTTTGCAAAGTGAGAATTTTAAGGCAAACAATCCTTTTTTTCACATTTTAATGTGTTAGGAGAATATTTAACTCCTGCATATACTAAGAAAACCAATCTGCAAATACTAAGGAAACAAACATTTGGAATGGAAAGAACTATACAGTGAAATCAAAATAAATATACAGATCAGAATATTAAAATTATAATATATTGCTTCACTTGTGTTTTCCATTCCTTATCTAAAAAGTAGAAATAAACTGTAAAATAGGTAGGAAGAATTCACTAGAGACAGAGGTATTTGCCAGAACAAAGTAATTACTGAGTTACGATTATACTGCAAAGACGCATTACTGCTTTTTTCTCTTTTTTCCCTTTTCTTTCATTTTCTTTTCCTTTTTTTTTTCTTGCCATAGCAAATAAAATACATTTCAGGTTTGACTGGCCTCTTTTCTCTCATAATTTCCCATCTTTACTTTTATGTCTTTTTTCCCTAAATGCAGCTTGACTATTCTTACTAATGCTATGTACACTCATCAAATAGTCTATTTCCCTACATTCAAAATTTACTAGTTTAAAGTCAGTCTTCTCTACACGTAAATCAAGCAAGTTGAAATAGAGATACCTGCTAGAAAGTGAAGTTCAGAAGTCAATGAAAGGATTCTTGGTAGCCCACAAGAAACAGAGGGTTTCTATGAAGAAGAAAAAAAGCACAAGCGTATGCAATTATTTTCAATGCACCATATTCTATTGTTTTGTTTTTGTCATATAATAAAACAAGATCAAAAATGATTGATGGGAAAGGAGATTTTGGATCCCCTAGAACATAATCACTACAAAAGAAGGGCTTGTGTCTTATTCACTACTGAATTATCAATGTAACATAAAAACATTAAAAAAAAGTTCTGGAACTTGATAGATGCTCTCAATAGATATCTATAGAATGAACGAATGGCTATTGAAGAGTATTTTGGTCATGAACTGTTGTTTTGCCTTAAGGCATCCTTCTTTATCCACAAGTAGAAGCAATGAGGGAAATATTCAGACAAAGCATTATTTAGTGATATGGACATGACTTGAGCTTAAAGATAATGTGACCATTGTCATTTTGGTTCTGGTAATAAGGAAGGAAAAACTGGACAATCCAGTCAGATTATGATTCCTAGACTTTCAATAGACAGATTCCAGAAAGTTAAATTAAAATGTAGGTATGATCCTGTGGGCCAATATTGTAAGTAAAAGGAATGAATGCAGATGATATTTCAAGATTTACAAAAACAAAAATTGTAACCCATAGTCAGACATTTAGCCAAGGTAAAGTATATGAGACCTATAAAGCAATGTTTTTCAGTCTCAGAATTATTGATATTTGGAATCTGATACTATGTTGTGGGGCTTGTCTTGTGCATGGAAAAATGTTTAGCAGCATCCCTGTCCTCTGTCCACTAGATGCCAGATGCCTGAAGTACCCTCGTTATAGCTAAATTGCATACAGCAACCTCAGGTTTTAGAAATTCTTATAAACTAACTTGAAAAATGAACTTAAAAGAGTGGTTCAAAGTCTTATGGAAGTTGAGGAGTTAAAAATTTATTTCACAAAAGTACTAAGGATGAAGGAAAAGAATGTCCTTCATGGCTCATCAAAGCAAGACAGAATTTGTTGCTGATTGTATATAGATAAACAGGATGATTAAAATTACTAAAATATTTTACATGTATCTTCTCTATTTAGACAAATAATCTTTATATAAACTTGATATTTTATTCAGAATTCCTAAAGTTAGGTCAATTTCCTATCAAAAAATTGGCAATCCTTGTTAAAATTTTTTAGGAATCTTTAGGATTTCCTCAAAAAAAAAAAAAAAGTAACCAAGTCATTATCTTCAATAGTATCCCTTATATTTGTTCAATAAAAAGCAAATAAAATAACATTTATTACACTATTAAATACTCCTTTTATAGTTATTTTAATTGTTATGGTTACTCTGCTAAACTGACAAAGAAATGGTGTGCTTAATATGAGATCTGCCTATAGTATATTATGTCAGTGTTGTTTTCTCCACCTATCCATCTTACATATTCACCTGTCATGTTGCTCCATTAATTGTGAGATGATGAAGCAAAATTTTACTAGCACCACAGTATCAGTAACATTAAAAGTATATTTTCAGAACTAGGGCAGAATTGTTTAGCTATGTCTTATCTTGAAACAAATTTACAGTTCCAATAAAAGTGAAAATAAGTCACACCAAATACGTATGAACATAAGCCAAGCATTTATTTAAATGGGCTGCTTCAATTTTACTTCTGTATAAATAAGAATATAATGTAATAAATTTGTTATAGCTAATGATACTGTCTTTATTTTCTAAATTAAAAAAAATGTATAGGCATTCAAGAAAGGAACTCCAATTGACAAGTTAAAAATCAATGGATATTAGAATGTTATATTGAACTATCACTTATTGACATACCATGTAATAATTCCCTTACCAGAACATAGATTCACTCATGGAAAACTCAAATCATATTATCAGGTAAGGGCATGCTGCAATGATATTTTCCATCAGCCAGGGCTCATATTACACAGGTCATATTTATACTTAGGTGTCTTCAAATCTGAGAAAATGGAAACTTGCCTAATGAGACAACAAATATTTGACCTGACTTGTATCCATTTTGATGATCTTCCTTTTAAAGGCAATATATTCCAAGGAAACCCAGAGCCGTAGAAGAGGAGAGGTAAAACATGAAAGGAGCAATAACATTCAACTAATAATGACATTCAACTATAATCTGTGTAAACTATGTGGTGTGTGTGTAAATTTATAAGAGTGCAGAGTTGAACCTAAGCCCATGAAAGTATGAACTCCTTTAAGTGTGGGAGACTTATTTAACCCAACAAATTCAACTGTCCTTTTCAAGCAGTTGCCCCACATTATTACTTACATTGAGCACTGCATGTGAAAGTCAGAAAGCAACTATACTTGAATCAAAAATATTTTTTCTTCCTGAAAAAAGGGGCAACTTTCTTTGTGTCACACCTATAGTAAGCTCCATTAAGTACAAAATCCTTACTTTATCTTCATCTTTAAGACAAATAGTCAACAGAAAAGAGATCATAAAAATATACAGAGGTTTTTTTTTTTTTTCCTTTGAGATAAGTAACCAAGTTACACATAGGTAAACAAATCTCCTTTTGAGGTTAACAAATACAAAAGCCCATTTCTCAGTTTAAACTTTGTCAAACAAGATATGAACTCTTTTTTCCTTATAGAAATAATGTTATTTGCTTCCATAGCAATGATTTTATTAGTTTAATCCTAAGCACACAACTTCTTGATTTACATTTATTTACTATTCTTAAATCAAAAAGAAACAAACTCTAGAGCCTGTTTCCTAGGCATCTATTACTATTTCCACTTCTTTTCTTTCCCTCAGAAACTTAACTGGAAGAAAATCAATTTAGCATGATTTTACATGAAAATATTCAAGTAAAGCAACCATTTTTAGATCCACTCATTCACTCAGTACAAAAGCATTTAAGTAATTTAGGAAAAGTTAAGTATGAAGAGGAACATTGCACTTTCAAGTCCAAATCTTACCTGGTAGATTGAAATGAAAGCTTTCTTAATCTGCATGCACTCCTTTCCTCAAGGGACAATGAAATCACAGGAGCCTATATTCTTAAAACCCTAAAAGAAAAATCAGGAAGCTTGATCTCTGCACATAATGGCCTGCATAATGTAAGAAAGCGCTGTTTCTTGGCAACAAGAAAACAATCCTTTTCAATTAACTCACAGCAATTGGCCCACATTTGTTCTTAGACACAGAATAAAGAAAATGTCTTAAGAACTCCAAAGAACCTGGTAATAACTGACTGGGAAAATCAGATCAGTTTGTTCATTTTAAAATAGTTTTAATTAATGGACTGCCCATGCCAATTGCCTCACCCTTTCCTGAAAACTTTTATTGACATATCTGGCTTACTTCCTTGTTGCATATTATTTACTTAATCCTGAATAGTTGCATCTGTTGTTGCAGAAACACAGTGAAAAGGTGAAAGATAGTCTTGGCAAACCAATGGTATATAATGTTATTGTGATCTTGGTCATTTTGCCCATCATATTTTGCTTTATAAAATATCAGTTTAAATGTAACATTGGATGTTCATTAGTATATATAAATCAAAACTGTTTATGTATATTCTCTTAGCTGTTGAAGATAACCTCCAGCAGATGCTAATTTTAGATGATATATAAAGAAGTGCAGCTGTGCTAGAACTTTCAAGGTCTTTTTCATATTTAGGATTTCTAAAATCCTTTGCTTTTTTGCTGAATATATTAACTCTTTTGAGGTACTCATGAAAATTTGATGAAATCGTAGGACAATCTTGTAAGTGAGCTGTGTATTTCCACATACATATTTGAA